GGGGGGGGGCATGGGATTTGTGATTTACTAAAGATAGCTTGGAAGGAAGATATTTTATGAGATTGTAGGAAACATCAGTTCATCTCAAAGGAAGTGACAAGGACGCTACATTTTTGGCAAGGCTTTTTCTGAACCTGCCGAAAATATACTTTGCATGAAAAATAAAACTAATGGAGCCCTAACATGTAAGGACAGGCAAGCTGCAATATATACAATTTTTGATTTTGTGTTTCGATATCCTTTAAAGTGGCATTAAACCTTCAGATTTTTTAACATAAACCAATACTGTAATGTGTGTCTTACTCTAATCCATGGTAGTTTCCCTTCTCTTTGCTGCTCTTCCTTTTAAATCTGTATCTCTTCTCACGCTGGGGGAGAACTTCCCTTTGCAGCTGAGTGCCTCTTCCTGTAGTGCTGGCTCAGGTTGTGAACCAACACACAGACACCGTGTATCCATTCCAGAGACAAGGCAGTCTGCTGCAAAACAGACGTTCTGCCCAGCATGAGAACAGATACAGATTTAAAAGGAAAAGCAGCAATGAGAAGGGAAACAACCATGGATTACAGTAAGGCGCACATTACAGTATTGTTTTATGTTAACAAATCTGAGGGTTTAATGTCACTTTAAGGTATCCTGATTGCATTGATTCATTAGCTGCAGGATTCCCTGTAGCCTGGACAAATCTCTCTCTCTCTCTACACACACACACACACACACACACACACACACACACACACACACACATATATATTTATTTATTTAGGGACATCAAAAATGGTAATTAACTCCTAAGAATCAGATTTGCCAATTTACTGATCACTTCCATTGATGGTATTAATGAGAATAAAACATTTCTAGAAATAAACAGATACAAAAGCTACCAGCGATAGCCCTATTTTTAAATGGATTCTGCATACTACTGTATCACACTGATCCATGGAAGTATTATTTCAATGTGATAGCCTTTCAACATATCAAACTTGTACTGTAGCAGTAAACAATGCTGTAAAGGAGGTAAGTAGGAAAAGGCAAGGATTGTATTTGCTCTTTGTAGTGATTAAAGTTAAGTATATTCTGGCAGTATCATGTTTTAAAGTAGACTTAAACTGCAGGGCCAGGCCATCAAACACTGGCTTTTGGATTTCTTAAAAAGTGGCTCTGCTGTGCTCTTGTTTCAGCATCACATATCCCATGGCTGGGACGGCAGTCTAGGGAGCTGATATTAAAGGTTTGTGCTTTAAGTCATTGCAGGTCACATGACCCATCATGCTGTCTTTAGGCCCTGTACCTGGTGCACCATGGAACCCAGTTTTGGCATATCTGAGGTTAGGTTTTGTTACTGCACTACCTCTATTACTACACAATGTCCAGGTAAATTAAGATGACCCAATTCTGCAGTTTGGGTCTATTTATGACCTCATCTGGCCATGCCCCTTACCTCTTGCCATACGAAAGCCAATTAAGTTCCTCAAATACACAGGTTTTAGATGTCCTGCTGTCACTCAGTGCCTCTCCCCCAAATTTGGTACTAAATTTTTCCAAAACCATACCATTTACAGCTGCCATTTATAAATTGGGTGAGTCTCAAAAGACAACATACACGTTTGGTACTCTCCTTTACAGCATAACTCACTCAACAATACTAGAGAAACATTTATAGAAACATATCAACCATCTGAAATAATAAAAAAAAGAACCATAAGAAGGTCATATGATAGAATTAAACTAATGTGATGAGAGGAAGGGTTTGTGTGATAGGGATATGAAGTTTTACAAAGGCAGTGGAGATGGGACAACTTACAGGTACTCTACTGAGCGGGGGCTTCGTGGGAGGAGTCCCAGCTTTTCCAGTAGCTGCAGTGGTGGCTGCTGCAGAAACATAGGTGACCGGGATGACAGCCTGTCCAGGAGTCACACCTTGGCTTAAGATGGGGATGCCAGATTGTCCCAGAGGTAAACTGGTAGGTGGAGCTGTAGTTGTAGGTTTGGTCTGGGAGGAGACTGTGGTCGGTGGAGGTCCAGGCAAAGGAACCCCCTCCTGTCCTATCGGAGCTTCTTGTGGTGTCAAGCTATGCGGTGCGCCAACGCTGCCATGCTCGCTGAAAAGTGACCTCAGTTTCTCTTCCAGCATCTTGATATCATCTATTCCAGACTTTGTCAGACTGTCTTCACCTTCAATAGAATGGGCGTGAGGAAGGCTGGTGCCTGTGCTTGGCAGTGCCTGACCATGCTGCAATGTATGCTGAACACCAGGCAACTGGTGGTTTACGGGCACAGTTCCAGACAAAGGAACCTGAGAAGCAAGCGGTGTGGACACAGCTCCGCCTGCTTGTGATACAATTGGTGTTGTTGCGACTGCTGTCGGAAGATGCGTAGGATGAACAATAGGTGCATTATCTGCCATCCCAATCCCAGAAGCTGCCACTCCTGCGTAGGTGAGATGACTAGAGATAGGGAGGGACATGCCTATTGTACTGATTGCAGCAGTGACCTCTGTTGGTTTCTTCAAGACATCTGGATGAGCAGCACTGGTCGTGACACTTTCCACAAAGCTTGGAGTGGAGGTGCTGCTGCTCAGCTGGACTTGTGCTGGCGTCACAGTGCTCATAACTGGCGCAGACACAGATGTGTGAGGCAGGGTGCCAGCGACACTGCTTACTGGCAGCTGCAGTGGAGGAGAGGTAAGGGTCTGTGGCATGACTGCAGCGGTGCTCACGGGAGGAAGTGACATTGCAGGGGGTGATGTCACTGTTCCAGGAGCCATAGGGATGCCAACCACCAGAGGCTGAGTAGGAAGTGATGTCACAGCTGGAGGTACACTTGTGGACACAGATACCCCAGATATCACTCCTGTGGTGAGTGGCTGTGTAGACACAGTGGTGATTGCAGGCACGGTGCTTGACATAATGCTCTGGGCCGGCACTCCTGTAACAGCAGGAGTCACAACACCTTCTAGCAGCGGCTGGGCCACTCCAGAGTGCAGGCTGCTGGGAGTGGCAGTAGATGGGGGCAGTCCACATAATCCCACTGAGAAGGAACCAGCGAGATTAGTTAGAGATGGTGGAAACGGAGGTCCAGTTTGATTAAACATTGGTGGAGCTGTGCTGGGACCATCAGCCATTTGAGCCTGTCGCATCTCAGCAAAGGCATTATGGAGACTGACAGATGATGCAGAGTGAGAAAGGTTCATCCCAGGACCATGGGAAGGGGGAACTAAAAAAATAAAAAAAAAATCCGTTAGGCCGCAATACTTGCAAATACCACCACAGATATACTAAGACACCGCTGAGACTAAGACAACAATGGGGAAAAAGGTCAAAGTAGAAAGCTGTATAAATATAAACCAGACATCCACAACGCCTGCACAAGTTGAACACATCGTCTTGGCAATGTATGCATTGCTGATTCTAAAGTGGAACTCCAGCTAAATATTTTTTGATCTTGAAGAATGGTTAGAACCTCATCAGTTTTTTTTACTATTAACTTATCAGATTATCTGTCAAAAGAGCAAAACCACAATAGATTTCCTGACAGGTTTAAAAAAAAAAAAAAAACCTACAACATTTTTCCCCTGGCTGCCTACAGCTGTTCCATTACAGACACCACAGAGCAAGCTCACCAGTTGGCTGCGGATCCTGTGACAGAGCACTGAAGAAAGTTGGCTCCCTCAGTCGGCTCTCCGGAACTGGACTGACTATGAATCGTCTACCGGCAGAGTGAACAACTTGAGCGTGGAGGCCAGGAGCAAGATCTAAACAAAGAGAAAGTCACATCGGTTTGGTGGCAAAGGAAAAAAAACAAAACAATGCAGTCAGATCTAGGAGCCAACAGACACCTACAACTATACTAATAGGGGGAAAAAATGAATGGAGAAATACAGTAACTGGCTGAAATACATGAAAGAAAATAAATATATATAAATATATATAAAT